ACACGGCCATGCCAGGGGGGGCGTTTAGATGATCGTTGACTCTTTTCGTCATTTGGTCTTTGCTTTCGTCTGTTATCACCACCAGCCCAAATCCGCCAATGGATCACATCGACGCCGGCGTCTTTTTTTAGTCGGGGCGACGGGATGGCAGAGGCAATGCCAGCCCCCAGCGGCAGTCCTTGAACGAAGGATGCTGGCGATGAACCAGAAATCCTCCATCCTTGCAAAGCAAAAGCCTCCCTCTTGGAAGCATCTTGCAAATACGGATACCCTCTGCCCTCAGCCTATATAAGGTTTAGCCCTTCCCTCCGAGAACGTGAGCTATATCTTTCCACTTTTCATAATCACATCGTTTGCACATCTACATTGCCTCTACTTACCTCTAAACACTCCCGCTCGTGTTCTACTCCCATTCTATATAAAGTGATACTTGTCGACACACTTCTCAGACATCGTTTCTCTTTTGCTTCAACTCCGCATCCCACTCTTACCATCTTTGCTTCTTTGCAACGTATTGCCACAACTACACACAAACCGAACACAATGGCCGCTTTTTTCACCACCGCCAACTCTGCTATCATGACGCTGCCCGTCGAGTACGGCCGCAGCGGTTACAACGGCAAGCCTGACGACGAGGACGAGACCAAGGACAAGGGCCGCAGCGGCTACAACAAGTCAGTATACGTCACGTCTATGGATATCAGCAACGCACAATGTTAACGTTTTCTTTCAGGGGTGACAAGGACGACGACGACAAGGACGAGTAGAAAGCCCCAGTTTGCTTGGCGCTTGCTCCTGTACTTCTTAGACATAAACGGTTTTGATTTCTTGGCACACTTGGCTGTTGGAGTTCCCGGCGTTTTCTTTTCATACTTCTCCCATTACCACGATGGAACAGTTTGATGACAGGCAATGCGCACACGACTGCAGAGAATGCTGATTTGCGCTGCTTGTTTGGATTGTTCTCTCTTGTTTAGTTTTCCTTTATTGGGTTTGGGTTTGGGTTCACAAGACAGAGACCTCACGGCAGGCAACTTGATACAGCTGCAGTTTCTTTATATAATACAATTCTGCACGAAGAATCTTTGCTTTACAATGACATTTACTTGGATATTTACTTGGATATATACAGGGCACGAGACCAGAAGGACCACTAACACGCAACATGGGCACGGCACCTTAACTTCACTTCCCGACACAGAACCTACGAAACTGTTAGCAAAACTGTCAAGACACCATAACATACTTAAACCCGACGCCAGAAAAGTGGCTGGACTTACTTTTCAAAAATCACGCCCAGCACCTCCTCAATATCGCCCGCCTCGCCACGGCCGGTTATTCGCGACAGACAGTCGGCCGCATACCGCAGGTGCTCAGCCGCCAGCACGACATCCGGATCGGCATCCTCGTCAGTCGCTTCTGCCAAGAAATCGTCGAGGTGCTCGCGACACTGCGCCAGGAGCTGCTGCTGTCGGGCCGTGACGCCCAACAAGTCCTGCTCGTCGGGCGGCAGGTCAGTCATGGAGGCAAAGGACGCAGCGAGGGCATCGACGAGACCGTGGACGCCGCCAGGGTCGCTGTTGGCGCTGTCCATTTCAATAAGAAGTGGCTCACCAATGGCGGACGCTTCGGCCGCCCGGCAGGAGATGGCCATGACCGGTACCTGGCTGTTCTCGTTGGGATCGCCCTCCCTCTCCTGGCTGGCACGCATCATTTGGTCCACCGTCCGGCGGAACTCGTCGACGAGACCTGAAAGAGTGGACGCGTCTGGAACGACGTCGCACTTGTTGAGAACGACCATCCGCTGCCGCGCCTGGGCGGCGAGGCGGAGCGTCTCCTCGTCGTAGCTGACGACATACGTGTCGGACGCGGCATCCTTGTCGACCGATGCCACTACGACTACGACGTCGGCGTCGGCGGCTTTTTGGCGCGCCCGCCGGATGCCTTCCGCCTCAATGGCACCGCCGCTCGCCGCCACCACCTGCCGGAACCCCGCCGTGTCGGCAAACGTGCACAGGTATCCGCGGATGTCCAGGCTCGCCTCGACCACGTCCCGTGTTGTCCCGGCCTCGTGCGAGACAATCGACGCTTCCCGGCCCACAATCAGATTCATGAGTGACGACTTGCCGGCGTTGGCCGGGCCGACGAGCGCAATCCGGATGCCGTGCCGCAACAGGCTGCTGCGGTCGGCCGCCGCCTCGTGGGCGCGCACGCGCTGCTGCAGCTGCGTGACGTGGCGCGACACGTTTTGCAGCAGCTCGCGGGGCGACTCGTCAAAGTGCTGGTCCTCGGAAAAATCAATGAGCGCCTCAATCTCGGCGCGCGCCGCCAGCAGCTGGGCGCGCCACGCCTCGTAGGTGCGTCCCAGGCGGCCCGAGCTGCCGCGCACGGCGGTGCGGCGCTGGTGCTCGGTGGCGGCGTCGAGGGTGTCGCCCAGGGCCTCGACCTGGGCGAGGTCGAGGCGGTTGTTGAGAAAGGCGCGGCGGGTGAACTCGCCGGGCTCGGCATAGCGTATGCTGCTGCTGCTGCTGCTGCGAGACGTGGCAGGAAGGGCACCCAGGACGGCTTTGACGGTGGCTGGCCCGCCGTGGACGTGCAGCTCGAGGACGTCTTCGCCGGTGACGGACTTGGGCCCGGGAAAATAGAGGACAACGGCCGCACGGTCGAGAATGTCGCTGTCGCCGGACGCTTCGGCGGGACCATAAAGGGTCCTCACAGCGGCGTACCGCGGCTTGATCGGGGGTGCTGACGGGCACAAGGCTTTGTAGATCTTGGGCCGCTGTTACTACGTGACGTTCCTTAAAGGGTACACATGAAAACAAAGGCGCCGTGGGCCACATACGTCCAAACAAGCCGGCCCTGATATTCGGATCACGGCAATGCCGGCCTTGCCAGGGGCAGACGAGAGAGCATAGATGGTGGCATCATCGGAGTGGAGGGGGCCGTGGCGCGTAGCAGAGGCGACAAGGCGAGACGACAGAGACGCTGTTGATGACATGCAGCGTTTTGGTGAGATGTTGAATTTTGCTGGCAGCCGGAGGGGTACGTGGTTCGTTCTACGTGCAGCCGAGTCCAGTGAATGCGGTTGGATCTGAATTTGACGCCGGAAAGCAGTGCACGAGGAGGGCTGAGTCTCTTGCGTCTCTTGAGTCGCTGCGAATACGTGCCATGGTGGTGATGATGTCGATGATTTTGGACAGCCCTTTGCCCAGTGTCGTTGTGGCATTCGACGGGCTACTGATGATCGCGACATGGCGCGTATCGCTCAGAGTGAGTTTGAGTATCAAAATTATGAATGTGGCATGTTCACCGATGGACTCGTTAACTTCACTTTTTTTAAAAAAAACTGAAAAGCTTCATTTTTCAAGCTGTGTTCACAGCGAAGCTCAGGCGAGTACAGTTCACATGCTTAGATTACCTAATTCTGACGGTATGCTCCCGCTGTTGGTCCACTGCAAGCACTGTAAACGCTACAGAGAGATGCAGCGCTAGCACAACTAGCACAACTAGCACAAAAATAGCACAAAATAGCACACGGGCGCCACAGGCATTGAATAAGTATCTTACGGTACCCGTAGCAGCGCATGAATGAAAGGCGGGGAGGCCTGGAGTGGGGTGGGGCTGTTTCCTGCGTTTCTGGCGGTCGCTTCGCTTCGGTGTGCAAGGCAAGAGCCGCCGCCCGCTCTTTTCAAACCGAGCCGCCTCTTCCCTTTCCACTCCGTATACCACATCCCCTTTACCTTTCTTGTCCTCCCAACTCCAATTACACCTGTCTTTTCGTCGTGTCTCTCCTGTTTCGAGCCAGCTCAACTCCCAACATCGTCCATCTCGCCGACGTCCATCCATTCCAGTCTCTGGTGCGGGCCCACTCGACGGATATACAGGCAGACGACCATCTGCCCCTTTGACGGCCGCGACATACGACGTCCGGCTTTCGACTTCCGCCTTTGTTGACGACGACTGCATTTCGTCTCGTTCGATCTCGCCCTTGACACCGGTCACCTAGCCAACCGGGCGTCCCACCATGGCCTCCTGGTACTCCAACATCCTCACCACCACCACCTCCCGCATCTCCAACCTCCGCTCCACCCTGCTGGGCGGCGACGCCGACGGCGACACCGAAGATGACACCCATGTCTGCCGCGTCCTCCGCGCCTACTACACCGAAAAGGGCCGCAGCTTTCCGCAGTGGCTGCCGCCCGATCCCAAGGCGCCGCCGCCGCCCGTCGCTACGGTCGTCCCGTCGGGCCCGGGCGTGGGCTCCCGCTACGGCGGCGCTGCGCTGAGTGGCGGCGGTGCCGGTGCGCCGCCGAGCAGCAGCCTGTCCTCGCTCTGGGACAACAATGCCAATGCCGCACAGGCGCAGCCCGTGGGCGGCTCCTTGCGGCAGACGGCCCGCGTCGGCGGCGTGCAGGGCAACCGCCTCTCTCCCTTTAGCAACCGCAACAGCGACCCGCCGGCGTCGGGCGGCCCTGGTGGCCCTGGTGGCCCCGGCCCCCGGCCCCTGCCGAGCCAGCGCATGGGCAGCTACCAGAGCACGCAGAGTGCGGCTGGCGCTCTCGACCGGAACAGCGGTGGTGGCGGTGGCACACCGGGCTCGGCACAGGACAAGCTGCGGAATCTGTTTAGCAGCGGCGGCGGGAGCGGCGGCGGCAGTGCAGGCGGCAGCCGGTCGCAGAGTCCAGCACAGTATGGCGGTGGAGGTGGAGGTGGAGGCGGAGGCGGCGCCTCGTACAGCCGCGGCGGCGGCGGTGGTGGTTACGGAGGTGGTGGCGGACGCAGTGGTGGTGGTAGTGGTTATGGCAGCGGCGGCGGCGGCGGCGGGGGTGACCGTCCTTTTGTTGCAGCCAATGCGCCGTGGGCAACGGATGGGTACGAGTACGCGGGCGGAGGTCGATCGTCAGGCGGCCTGCCCAGTGGACCACGGCGTGCTGGTGGGGGCTTGCCGAGCGGTCCTCGTATGCGGTGAGGGGCTGGGAGATGCGGAATAGACGGGCAAGATGAGGGACAAGGTGAAAACGACACGAGGGCCACAGTCACTGTCCACAAGTGACCATGGGTCACGGCTATGGTATGTGGTACACAACGAGGGGAGACTGATCAACAAAAGCGACAAGCCGCGGAACGACGACAAGCGAAGCGACTGGGTCACTAGAGGAGCATACTGCGACCTGGACGCAGCGCACACTACACAGCAGGACTTGTGCATCGCGGACATTACGTTCATCTGCGAGCGGCGCACGGTTGTTGCTACCGCCCACAGAGACTATGATTCCACGCTGCAGCACACTGCTGTTGTGGAACCGGCCCCTCTGGGAAAAACGACAGAAATAAGGCGGCAGGCTGCCTGTTTCGTGAACGAGCGTGTTTGGATGAACAATCCAATCTGCACAATAATACGAGAGGCAGACTTCATATGAGATAGTAGAAGCAGGAATAGCACGACACAAAATTACTAATATCACTGCATTTATGTTGGACGTCTGTTGTCATGATGAAGGAAAAGAGAAAGAAAGTTTGTGTTTATATTGCAAAATGATGAGGGCAGTGCGTGATGAAAGACAACAGACAAAAAATGAAAACAGAAGACAGGACAAAAAATGCAAATCCCGCTGTATCCTAAACCTCGTATCGTAGATGTAGTACAAAAGGACATAACAGAATAAAAAGAAGACAAAGAAACATCCACCCCACTGCATTCTCTACTTTTTCATGTTGCCCCAGAGAATCTTGTCGCTGCCAGGCTGGTTCTTGGGCACCACGTAAATGTTGCGGCTCAATAGGCCACGAAGTTCCGGCGTGATGATCCGCTGGGCCGCTTTGGCTGGTGCAGCCGCAGGTTTGGGCGCAGTGCTGTTGCGTGCCTCCGGTGCCTTGCCAGCGGCAGCCGCCGAGGGACTCGATGACGACGCCGGCTGGTTGTTGCCCGGCATGCCCGGCATGGAATTCATCTCGGCGCCGCCGCTGCTGCTTGAACTGGCCGGCTTAATCGTGGCATTGGACGATGCCGTTGACGCTGCAGACGCTGCAGAAGCCGACGAGTGGTCCGTCTTGAGGCGCGGCGCCGGGAAATTGTTCTGCTTGTCGACGGCCTCGACGAGCCGCTGGAACCGCCGGAACAGCGCCTCGGCGCGGATGAGCGTCGACTCGAGATCGATGGTGCCCGACAGCTCGTTGACGTACTTGAGCACCTCGTCAAACTGCTCGAGGTGCATCATGATGACGTCGCGGTGCTTCTCGAGGATGGCGAGCGCGATGAACAGGTGGAAGCTGCTGCTCAGGTAGTCCGTCCACAGGCCCTCCCACAGCCGCAGCACATCGAGCCAGTCAAATTCGCGCTTGTACCAGACCAGCAGCATGCGGAAGAAGAAGAAGAAGTTGGTGCTGTCCGCCTTGCGCAGGTGGTCGTACAGCTTTGGATCCATAAACTGCAAGAGGTGGTCGAGCGCCAGCAGCTGGGCGCGCATGCCCGACTGGTCGCGCAAGAAGTTGCGCTCCATGCGCTCCATGAAATGCTGAAAGGCCCAAAACGCGAGGGCGTCGTCCTGCACGACGGCGTAGATGGGCGCCAGCAGATCGGACATGCCTTGCACGTAGCCCAGCTCGCGGTTGTACTCATTGTACGTCAGGAGCAGGTCCTTGAGCTGTTCCATGTGCACGTTGGTGCCGACCTCTGCAAACGGCGAGTCCGGGTCGGGGTGCGGGATGTTTTCGCCGGCAAAGATGACTACGTTGCGGTCTGTGCGGTGGACGTCTTTTTCTATAGAGTGTTAGACTGTGCAATGACGGTAAAGGACAAGGAAGCTCTTGGCAACGAGCTCCAGACAGGGAAATGCTTACCGATTCTCCCGCGCTGCTCGCGCCACCACTCGCCCTCCTCGCCCTGGCCGCCCAGGTCGACGAGACGGTCCCACCACTGGCCCTTGAGCTTGATGTACTGATCACGCAGTGACGCCGTCCGGGCTTTGCGCTCGTCGGCCGTGCTGTACCACTCGTGTACACCGAGCAAAAAGAGCCAGGCCTCCTTTCGGACACCGTCCTCGGCGTGCAGGCCGCCGTGGAAGATGCGCTCCTTGACCTCGTCGGTCGTCACCGACAGGCGGCCGGTCCGGGCGTCGAAGAACGCGTTCCACTCCTTGAGCGTCACGGGCTTGCGGCGCTCTTCGAGGGAGAGACCGGTGGCGCTGTCGACAAGCTCAAACTCGCCGACGTCGGTGTCCTCGAGCTCCATAATGTCGTGGGCCGTCCAGATGCGCTGGTTGCGGTCGCGATCGCTCTGCTCCGCCATGCCCATGGCCCAGCGCGCAAGGTATATGCGGGCGCTGTCAAACTCCTCCTGGATGGTCTGCACTTCGGGGTTGCGCAGCAGGCGGCGCATCTGGGGTGGGACGCGCGGGTCGTCGAGCACGTTCTGGGCGGCGTTGCGTGTGAACGTCGTGACCTTGCTGAACTTTTCCATAATGTTCCAGCCCGTCTCCTTGACAAACTTCATGAAAGGATCCATGCCGGCGTCACGAGAGCCACCACCGCCCGTCGGCTGGCGTCGGCTGGACGGTCCCGCGGCCCCCGGTGCCTGGCCCGAGGTCCGCCGGTCGCCGGCCGTCATGCTGTCTCGCTTGCCAATGGCCGAGACGGAGCTCGTGGTGAGCTTGCCGCTGAACGCGTCGCTGTCTTCCTTGGTGGGCTCGACGAGATAAATGTTGGGCTCGGCGCCGCTGCGCTCGATGTGGATGTAGCGGCGCAGCCAGCGGAGGACCTCGTCGCCGCCCCAGAACATGCCGCCGTCCGCACCAAAGGGATCGAACGTCTCGCGGGCCCGCTTCTTTTTCTGCAGCATAGTCGACATGCACTCGCTGTCGTGGAAGAAGAGTGCCGGGAAGCTGTCACCAGCACGGGTGTTGATAATCACAGACCCAAACCACCAGCCCAGGCTGGGCGGCCGCACGAGCAGCGAGTAGATGGCACTGACGGGTATGGCAAAGGCATAGTGGCCGACGGAGCCCTGGTGGGTGGTAATGGTCGGCGGCGGAGGAACGAGGTAGGTCTGGCGGGGCGGTGAGTCGCCCTCGTCGTTGAGATCGACTTTGACGTAGACACTGGCAGCGTCACCAAGGGACGACTCGGGCAGCCATGCGAGCAGGAGGTCAGACGAAGACGGGTCGAGGGAGGCAGAGTTGAGCGAGGAAGACGATGTCGGGCGGTCGGCATGGCTGTCGCGGCGAGCGGGCTTCTGCTGCAGCAGGGCAATAAAGCCGCTGATGTTGTCTTTTGCAGAGGGTGTAGGGTGGATGTAGACCTGGGAGGTTAGCCGATTGAGTCAAAGTCGACAGCCAGTCACTAAAATGGAGAAGAAAGACAAAAACAAAATACTCACCTTGCTCTTGGAGTAGAGCAGCTTCACACCACGGCCTGTCTCCGTGTGCGTCACGGTGTTGTAACCGCCCTCTTCGTCGTCACTCATGGCATAGTAGCTGCCCTCGGGCGAGGCACTCCGGCGGCGGGCCGTTCTTGTTGTCGCCGTTGCCGGTTGGGCGGTTGGCTGTGATGTCGAGGACGACTGCGGTGCTGGTGTGTCGCCGCCTGGTGCTGGGATCTGGGTCATGATGCGGTGGTGGACTGCCCACAGAAAAGTCGAGTATGCGCAAGTATCAGCCTCAAACGGTAACTAGTCGGCTTGCATCGACCAGACGACAAAAAAGATCCAAAGATAAACGGCTGTCGCTCAGCTGATATTTCAAGGCAGAATTTAGAGAGGAACGGCCTATGACGGCATAGGTTCGCTGAAGTGGGGTCGAGATACAGCGGCCGCAATCGACAATGCACGACCAAGACACCGGATGCATGAAGAGAGCGTTGGTGACAATAATAACGCTCGATACGAAGAGAGGGAGAAAAGAGAGGAAGACAAGAGACGAAAAGAGAGAAATAAAGAGAGAAAGAAAAAGGAGCTTAAAGCGAGGTTCGTTTAGGCGTGGCAGCTGACTGACGTCGAGATCGGGAAGGAAGGGAGGGCTCTGCTGATGGTAAGTGCGCCGCGTGGGTGGGCGGAGCGTTTGGTGCGAGTGGCGGTTGCACCTTCCTTCAGTGAACGAACACACGAGAACGTGCCGGATTGGCAGGCGCTGCTCAGCGGCGACTTCCTAAAAGCCCCAAATACAGACGCCAGACCACAACGAGTTGGGCAAGAGCGACCGGCTGAAGACAAGCTACTAACAATGAGAGGAAAAGAAAAAAAAAATGACAAAAGGTAAAATGGTACACTGATTGTAAGACAGTTTGCGATTTCGCCCGTTTCCTGGCTACCTTTCCCGTAAATGGGGTCGGTTGTCGTCATCAGAGTACGAGGCTGTGTGCACCGTACGTCTAGCCTCCAGGCAGCCTTTTAATGAAGAATGTGTGGGGAAGAAGGCAAAAAGCGAGCAATTGGCGACTCACATCACGTTTTTCTCTGGAAGCATTTCATGTTTTTTTTTTTTCGGTCATTATTGTGACGATTATTGGCCGTATTGAACGTCAGTGACGATTCATATGTATTTTGTTTAAAGATTTCGTACTTTGTACCTCGAATAATCAGTCGCTCCATCCATGACAGCCGTCATTCGACGGCCTCTTTTCAATGTTCTATAAAGTCGCTGCTTTTCTTTTTCTCATTCCTCGCATGCCCCTTGTCTATAACTCGTCCCGGACGTGGCCCGTCGTGACGTCCACCTCGGGCATCGCCATGATCTTGACCACCAGGCTCGTCCAGCCCGTAAAGTGCTGCGTGCGCTGGCCCTTGCCCGTCTCCGGGTTGTACTGCTCCCACGCAAAGCCCGTCTCCTTCCAGCTGGCGTACACCGTGTCCACAATGTTGCGCCGCAGCCGGTTGTACAGGTCCGCCGCCCGCGCCCGGAAGGGACCCGCCTGCTGCCCCAGGGCCTGCAGCTGCACCAGCGCCAGGTAGTTGATGTTGATCCACACGGGGCTGCGCCAGTAGTTCTCGGCCGTGCCGTACAGCGGGCTCTTCTTGCTCAGGCTCCGCAGGCCGTGCGGGCTGAACAGCTCGTCCTCGTCGCCCAGCAGGTCGAGCAGGCGGCCCACCTTGGGGTTGGTCGGCTCCAGCAGGCCCACGAGCAGCGGGAACAGCGAGATGTAGCCGCGGTGGCACACGAGCTTGTTCTCCTCGTAGTCGTCGACGGTGGCGTCGCAGTAGCAGCCCTCGTCCTCGGACCAGTGCAGGTCGTCGAGGTTGCGCGCAATGGCCTCCTGGATCGCGCGCAGCTGCTGGGCCTCCTCGGTCGACGCGTCCGTGCCCAGCACCTCGGCAATGTTGAGGAGCGACCGCGTCATCATGCCCATCCACGCCATCAGGTCGACGTGCAGCTCGCCCGGGTGCGGCGGCTGCGGGCGCGGGTAGTCGTCAAGGCCGCTCGTCAGGACGTGCGCCTCGGTGCGGCCCCGCCAGCGGTAGGCCTCGCGCTTTGAGAAGGCGCTGCGCTCGTACGACTTGATGTCGCCAAACTGCGTGCGCCGGAACCAGTCGTACTGCCGCCGCAGCCGCGGGTACAGCGCGCGCAGGTACTCGAGGCCGAGCTCCGTGTTGTCGACGAGGTTGCTGCTGCTGCCGGCGGCCGCGTCGTGGCCGGCCGTGCCGTTCGCCGCCTGCCGCAGCTTTTGGACAAAGCGGTCCACGACGAAAAAGAGCGTCGGTGGGTTGGCGTAGTGCGGGTACTGGATCTGGAACTCGGCGGGCACCTTGCTGCGCGCCTCGGACCCCAGGATCTGCTCGCGCGCGATCCAGCCGTCGTCGTCCATCAGGTTGAACCAGCTCTTGACAATGTCGAGCGTCAGGTCCATGTCCCAGTCGGCAATCGGCAGCAGATGGAAGCCCTCGTCCCACAGGAAGCCGCGCGGGAAGAAGGGCCGCGACGGGATGCTGGTGAACAGCTCGTACGGCCCATCCATGGTCTCGCGGTGCGCGGCGCGCGCCTGCGCGGCGTCCTCCCAGAACCCCTCGTCCTCCTCCTCGTAGGCCGCCGCGTACGACCGGTCGGCAATGCCGTAGCCGTAAAAGTAGCCGATGCCGCCAATCAGGTTCGAGAACATGCTGTGCGCAAAGGCGCGGTACGTGTCGGCCGCGAACGGCGCCTGCAGCGAAAACACCTTGTTGAATTTCGCGCCAAACGACTCGCTGGCCGCGCGGATCTCGCGCGTCACGTCGTCGCTCGTCAGGTCCTTGCCGGCCGACGCGCTCGAGAAGAGAATGTCAAACTCGAACGCGCCCTCGTACATGCGCTGCACGAACTGCAGGTTGCCCGGGCCGGGCTGGTTGCCCAGCTGGTACACGTGCCACGGCGGCGGCGCCGCGTTGGGGTCGTACGCGGCAATGACGTGGTCGACCGCCTCCTTGATCCGCTGGAACAGCAGCGGCTTCGTCTGCCACAGGTGCTCCTCGGGCGCCGTCAGCGACTGCACGACCGTCTTCTCGAGGTCGCGCTCCGCCGCGTACGCGTGGTCGCTCTGCGGGTGCGCGCCCGTGCCCTTGGTCACGACCACCTTGTAGTCGCCGAGCCCGCTCGACGCGCCCTCGAACGTCACGTCGCCCGCGAAGCCCAACTCGTCCCAGTCGCGGCCGGACACGTCTGCCACGCGGATCGCCGAGCCGTCCTCCTCCTGGGCCAGGTAGAACACCACCATGGTCTTGACGCTCGCGTCCGGGTGGTCGTCGGTCGGCGCCTTGGGCCGCGGCACGCCCTTGATGCGCGCGCCCCAGCTGCCGCCGTGGGCCCCGCCCGGCACCTTGACAAACGACGTGGTAATGTCAATGTTGTTGAATGTGTCGTGGATCGTCTGCGCGCCGCCGCGCCGCGTGTCGTACTCGTCCCAGCCGTAGCCCTCCATGCCCTCGTTCTGCTCGCAGGTGTAGCGCACGTGGTTCTGCAGGTCGGTGTATGTGTCGGCGCGCCCCCACATGAGGCCGGACACCAGGCTCTTGGGGATCCGTGGCCGCACGCCAAAGTAGAGGTTGGGCCGGTAGGGGCCCCAGAGCAGGCTGTCGTTGTTGAGCCGCGCCGTCTCGCTGAAGAGCGCCGATTCGTCGCCGGTCTGTGCAGCTGCACTGTGGCCGAGACCGGCAATGGCCACGCCGACGGCAAGGGCCAATTGGCGCATGAACGCCATGGCAGTGTTGTCGATGAAACCAGGTATCACAACGAAGACGCTCGATGGTATCCGTCTTGGTGGTGATTGAATCCAAGCCAGTTGTATGTGGTCGGAGTGGGATGGAAAACCCGATTTGGTAGCTGCGAAGCTCCAGGGGTTTGGATGTGAACACGTTGGAGAGCTTGGCCCTAGTGGAAGGTGGTTCCGGGGTAGGAACACCCCCAACCGACGTGCAAACGCACTAGATCAGGGGTGTTGGAGGCGGCAACGGCAAGCACGTGATAACGGCACAAGCAGATATTTACTTTGTCTCTTTTGGTATCTGGCACAACCATGAGTCTCTGTGAGATATGGTTTTCCAGGGACGAATGGCGGCACCTTTTAACATTGCTGTAAACCATACGTACAATATAATGCTAGAAAAGTAATTAAGTCTCACATAGCGTTTCTTAAGGCGGCGTAAAGAGTTGTTCTTACAGACGCTAAAGGTGAAGGGGCTAGACCCAACACCGCCTGGCGTCCGCTATGGGCTGGCCCTGGCCAGGCCACTGGACCGCTAACAGGCCTCACCGCCCTCCCGCCACGTACGGCAGAATTCGCCTAGCGGGGCAGTGATGGACGCTTTTTTTTCTTTTTCTTTTTTTTCTTTCTTTTACGGTCGTCTCTTCTCGGCTCTCGATTCGAGTTGGCGTCTCGTCTTCACCACCTTTTCCATCCTTTCTTCTCACCCACTCTCCTTTTTATACTCTGCCATTACACCTCCCACGGCAACAAACAGAGGCTCATTTTGACCTCGTTGTCCCTTTCTCCCCTTCCTTTGTCTTTTTACTACCCGACCAGCCGTTCATTTTTCTTTTCTCCTTTCCCCCCTTCTTTTGAATATCTTTCAATACATCATGGCCAGCATGGATCAGGACAAGCCCGCACAGGTCGGTGAGGCTATGGACGTTGTCAAGGCGGAGGAGAAGTTCAAGACCATGGAGCACTCGGAGCAGCACTACTTCAATAGGTAAGCATCCCCTCGAACCTGTCTGTCTCATTGCCTTCGCGCCATTGTTTTGTTATGTTGTGTCCCTTGCTAATATGCGCCTCCAGCTACAACCACCACGGTACGTGACGCGAAACATGAGACGCAAGACAAGCTCGAGGTTCGAGACGATACATGCATATGTACTAACCCACCAGGTATCCACGAGGAGATGCTCAAGGATGAGGTCCGCACAAGATCGTACATGAACGCCATTGTCCAGAACAAGCACATCTTCAAGGACAAGGTCGTCCTCGACGTCGGCTGCGGCACGGCCATCCTGTCCATGTTCGCCGTCAAGGCCGGCGCCAAGCACGTCATTGGCGTCGACATGTCGACCATCATCTACAAGGCCCGCGAGATTGTCAAGGTCAACGGCATGGCCGACAAGATCACCCTGATCCAGGGCAAGATGGAGGAGGTCAAGCTGCCGTACGAGCACGTCGACATCATCATCTCCGAGTGGATGGGCTACTTCTTGCTGTACGAGAGCATGCTCGACACCGTGCTGTACGCGCGCGACCGCTACCTGGTCAAGGACGGCCTCATCTTCCCGGACAAGGCCACCATCTTTGCCGCGGGCATCGAGGACGGCGAGTACAAGGACGAGAAGATTGGCTGTAAGTGCCGACCCCCCTTCTCCTGATTTTCTCGACGCTGTGTTTCCCCGCTGACGTTGTAGTCTGGGACAACGTCTACGGCTTCGACTATTCACCCCTGAAGGCGACCGCCCTCTCTGAGCCGCTCGTCGACACCGTCGAGCTCAAGGCCGTCGTCACCGACCCTGCCAACATCCTGACCCTCGACCTGTACACCTGCAAGACCGAGGACCTGGCCTTTAGCGCCAACTTTGCCCTGCGCTGCAAGCGCGACGACTTTGTCCACGCCCTCGTCGCCTGGTTCGACATTGAGTTCTCGGCGTGCCACAAGCCCGTCCGCTTCTCGACCGGCCCGCACACCAAGTACACCCACTGGAAGCAGACCGTCTTCTACCTCAAGGACACCCTGGCGGTCCAGGAGGGCGAGGAGATCCAGTGCGAGCTGCACAACCGCCCCAACGACAAGAACAAGCGCGACCTCGACATTGAGATCAAGTACCGGCTGGAGACGGCAGACGCCACCCGGACAGGCGAGGGCGAGTGCACGTACAAGATGTGCTAGACGGGCGGCGAGGCAAAGAAGATGAAAGGGGGCATCGATTTTCAAAGGAGAAGAAAAAAATGGTGTCGTAAAAGACACGCTTCGGAAATTTTTCATGTCGCTTACATTTTTGGTTTTTGACTGAATGGTGTTTGGCTGGGTTGTTTTACATGTCCCGTCATGGTTCTGATATCTTTTTTAACGTTTTTTTTTTTGTTTGCATCCATTATGATACCTGTGCATGTTATGTGTTACGACGATGCGGTGAGAAATTACGGATGCACTATTCACTGTCACGACTGAGAATATACTATGGGGCCATCTGTCAGAGCACATAAGCGCATTGTTTGCTGCAGATGTCTTACTTTGGTACCGTTCTTTTATTCTTTTTGTTGACTGTTGCAAAACGACGAAATCAAAAATCAATAAACCAAAAGTCAAAACGTCAAAAAGTCTAAAATCAAACATTTTGGTAGATTGCTAACTGCGGTAAGCGCGTAAAAACATCACGATTGTCATAAAAACTTTTTTTCACCCTTTCCACATCACAGCACGCGTGCGCTGCGGGCTCGGGTGGTTCTCCGGGTGCTGCAGGTACGGCCCGCCGCTCGTCAACAGCGGCGGCACCATGGACGTCGTGCCCCGCGCCAGTGCGGCCACGTCCACCATGATCGTCGACAGCCAGGCTTCCTAGTTCCCGCCGCCGTAGTGCGACAGCAGGCGCGCGACCTGCTTGGCCAGCTCGTCGGCCTCGACGCGCGTGGCCGCCTCGGCGTACACGCGGCAGGCGTTCTCGGTGCCCGACGCGCGCGCAAACGACCGCGCATTCGTGTACTTTTTGACGCACTGGTCAATCTCGTCCTGGATGCCGGCCGGGTGGCTCAGGCGGCGCTCGGCATCGGTGGTCTGGAACAGGTCCTTGTCGGCGACCTCGACGCGCACCAGGCGGTTGGGCAGGTCGTTGTACGTGAGGGCCCAGTCGCGCAGGCTCCAGACCTTGTGGGCCAGAATGACCTCGACCAGGAGCATGTCCGACAGGGCGTCGCCGACGGTCTGGTTGATGAGGTCGCTGACGGCTGCCAGGGTGTCGAGGGCCTCCTTCTGGGCCGGCGACTGCGGCTCCTTGTTCTTGAACGCCTGCACGGCGTCGGCCGAGAACAGCACGGTGCCGTGGCCGTTGGCCTCAAAGTAGACGCCCACGTCAAAGCGGTTGGCGGCGTGGTGCAGGTGCTTGACGCCCGTGGGCGTGCACACGACGGGCAGACGCAGGTGCTGGGTGATGTAGTTGGTCGAGGCGCCGTTGGCGTAGGCGGTCTGGACGACGCCGATGCGCAGGTCCGTCTCGAGGTCGGCGGCGCGCACGAGGTCCGAAATGAACGAGGCGGCCAGCGACGAGATGCGGTCGCCGTCCAGCATGAAGAAGCCGGTGTCCGGGTCGACCCAGTAGTAGATCAGACGGTCGGCGTCGCCGTCGAACGAGCAGCTGCGCAGGCCCGGCTGCGGCTGCGGGTGGGGCGGGGCCCGCTGCTTGGTCTTGACAAAGTCGGCGCCGCAGTCGAGGTTCAGGATCTCGGGCCGCAGCACGTCATCGTTGACCACCTTGACGTCAAAGTCGACCTTGTCCTTGGGCAAGACTTTGAGGAACTCGTGCAGCTTGGGCCCGCCGACGCCGTTGGCGCAGTCGACGACCAGCGCGCCGGCCACCTTGCGGCCGCGCAGGGCGCGCACAAAGGCGTCGCTCAGCTTCTCGTAGTAGCCGGCCTCGCTGACCTTGCCGTAGGCAAGAGGCGTGCCCTCGGTGTTGGTGCAGCGCGTCAGGTAGTGCAGCTGCGGCGTCGTCAGGATCTTGTAGTCGACGCCCTCGATGCCCGTGGCGGCCAGCGCATCGGCCACGGCAATGGCCAGCGTGTGGCCCGAGGGGCGCGTGTCGCGGCCGTACACCACCTTGCCGGGCGTGGACAGGTCGACCTTGAGCGTGGCGGCTAGCTGGTGGTAGTACTCGACGAGGGCGGCGTCGTCGGCGCAGTTCACCAGCTTGGTGGCATAGACCTCCCACTCCTGCTCAAGCATCTCGCCCATGGGGTCGACAATCTTGACGCCGTTGTCGGCGGGCGGGTTGTGGCTGGCGGTGATCATGACGCCGATGGCCTGGCCGTTGAGCTTGCGGCTGCGCAGGCCGGCGAGCAGTCCAACGCGGAACGTGACGCCGTCGAGCAGGTCCGAGTTCATGCGGAAGCCCGCGGTGCCGTACTTGAAGACATGGCCGGGCTTTGTCGGGTGCTTCTGGGACGCAGCCAGAATCGAGTCGTCGGAGGACATTGTGGGCGGTGGGGGGTTGGAGCGAACTGGGGTGAGAAAGCGAGAGTCACACGGGACAGCAAGAACGCAAGAAAGAGGAGAAGGTGGGAGAGTGACGGGTTTGAGGGGGAAGCAGTGGATGGAGATATTTAGGGGTTGGCGAGGCTGAGAGGATGACGGGTTGGCCAGTGCGGCACTGTGAGGGCCGAGAGGGTGTAATACGCCGTACGAAGAGGGTGGGCAATTGATCGACGGAGCTACACAGGATCCTGGTTACACACCGGGGTGCAGCAAGGAGGGGAAGGGGAGGAATTGGGGACGTGAGAGAGAAAAAAGGAGAGAAGATGAAAATCAGAATTCAGGAGAGTGAAGCGGATTTGTGTCTTTTCCTCTGTCCAAAAGGAGCAGTTGCGAGCGGCGGCCTGTCGTGTCGATATCCGGAAGCTAAAGGCGGCCGAAACGACGTAGCATCGCTCGCACTAGACCGCAAGCTTTCGTGTTAGGAAAGAACAAAACAAAACCAAGGCGGTAGGAGCGAGTGGCGGCGTTGGGG